GAATAATAAGCATCGAGTCCGCTGAGTACACTGAAATTGTCAGTGTTACAACCTTCTCTTTCTCAAACATGTACCAGAAGTGTGATGACGCTATTAACTCGAACTCGTCATCAATTAAAAGATAGCTGGGGACACTAGGTACTTTCCTCTCAGAACCTGCACAGTTGATAGTCCACACAGCCGTAAACCCATGCAATATTGATTACCCAAGACCTGTATTGTGATAGCTCGCTTTCTAGCAAACGACGGATCCTATTGTAGTCAAAAGTAGCCGTTTCCGAAGTTGATTTTACAAATTATTTTTAAGAGCAATCGGTTATCTGTTTTTCCTTACTGCCTGGCTTTCCTCTTTTGCCTATTACAGTGACATTATAATATGCATTTTTCAACTTTGTCAATAGACGGCTGCACTTCTCTGCGATTATTCAACAGGTAACGAAGCATGCGGAGGTTATAATGGGCGATGTGTCGCATCGAATGAGAATGCTAATGCTACACATACTTTGCAGCACTTACAGGAAGTACAAAAATAACCGACAGGTAAGCACTACAAACTGCTTTACATTAACCTAGTAATACTAAGTCTTTTGCTCTGCTGGGAGGGGAATGCCGCGTCTTATTTAATGACTTTGAAGTATACGTTACACGACAACTGCAGGGAAGTATAACCTGTTTATATATACGTATGTAGATCTTTATCTCACACAAAATCGAGAAACAGATGTTTCAGACAAAAATACTTACCATTAGACTTATATAAAGCCTGCTCACAATTCTCTTTTGCGCATGTTTACCGAATTTCGCTCTAAATAAAGTATTGGTTACTTCCGTTAGTCATTTCTTGGGGTGACATTTCGTAAAAAAGACATTAGTGTGCATACTCTAGCTTGATTAGTTGATAAAACCCCCTAATTAGTTTAATGAGACAAAATTGAGAGGCTGGTCAAGATTTCTACCGAAGAACGAGCGGGTCCGTTGGCTACAAGTGCCCATAAGTTGTTTGCATAAGTAATATGCATTTCGAGGTTCCTTCACCCATTCAGCCATGGAATCTCCCACGCACAAAAGAGCTCGTACATTAAAAATACGACGAAAGACGAGGTAGGAGTCGGTTGTGCTACAGCGGTAGGCGCTTCGGCGCTTTGTGGATCGGTTTAAAGGGAAATTTAGTTAGTCTCGTCGAAAGTGATAAATTTGGGGTAACCGTGTATATGAACCACAATGTTTTACCAAATGCGGTTGATTACTTTATACAAATCTTGAGTTTTAACAGGTCGTTTTCTGGTAAATATTCCGAGCTCCCATTTAAACCTGAAACTAGATTGTTAGCCAATTCAGACATAGTGGATGCAGTGGTTGTCAGTGGCCTGAGGTTAGACCGTGTTTTTGACGTCTGTTTAGAATTAGCGAACAAGGAGCACCTCCCGCTACAAGTCTCAAAAGCTTTGCGCCAAGAGTTTGTGTGTCCAGCTCGATTCAGATGGCACAGGGCACATGGCATAAGGCGCGTTTATCTCATCGTAAGTGCGTAATCTGAGGCATATCGCCCATCGCTGACCAAGGAGATTCAGCTTACTTATCATTTAGAAAAGAAAAGTAGTAACCCTACAACGGTCAAGTCCACGGGTGTTAAGGTTGCGATCCAGAGAAGATGGTGGGTTATACGAACAAGCGTGTCAGGATGAGCACAGGGTGGATGACCTAGAGCGACCTCGACGGGTATTTCGAACACTCTCACGCGAGAGGGGGCGATCTAGTTGTGTAACCAATTTAAAGTATCCCAAAAAGCTAAGAGGACCAAGGATGCCCAGTAGCTGCCTCAGACACGCATAGATAGACGATTTCACATCCGTCAGCAGATCGCGGTTAAACGGTAAGCCAAACTAGTTTGCTGCAGAGCGGGGGTTAAAGGAGATTAATCTTCTGAAGTTAGCGTTGAACCCGAACGCTTAAGGAAGCCCTTTCCGATATGCCACTTAGAGCTCCACGGAAGGAAATCAAAAAATTAGAGAGCAGTTGAAACGAGATGCACACTATCTACTGCGAAGACCCTAAGAATTAGCCAATTATATGATATTTATTTATAAGTTGCAGTATGTGGTCAAAGTCTTTCTCCAAACGTCTGTATTTAGTCATTCGAAGATCTCCAGTCGCTCAAGCCCTAAGGTGAGACTTAAGTACAAGTGTGTGAAAATATCCTTAAGAACAATATGAAAATCTCACGGTGCCACGCTCTTCCCTTCTGGCGTGAGTTCACGCTGGTGACGAGTAACAACGATGCACTTTAAACTTCTACTCCACAATTAATGACGGAATAAAATCTTGCAACCATATAAGTTGACATAATCAAAATCCTCGTTTAGCTTTTCCGTGTGATTGAGTAGCTTTTTATATAATAATCGGTAGGCGCCACTTGCACAATAACACAGGCATTTCATCAACTGTACGAATTATCACCTTCGAATTACAATGGGAAATAGTATTACGGAAAAGCGATAGTAGCACAGTCATTTTTAATAGGGATTTTGGCTGATTTGAATAATTCATTTGAGTTATGCAGAACTCAGCGACCTCAGTGGAATTTGAGAGCACAACAGCAAGCGGAAGGCTTTAATGCAGTCAAAGTTTTAGCCACTGAAGCAACGAGGCCCTACTGGAAGCTGTGAGGTTTATCCCACTTGGGTCAAGTTACTCATCCAGCCTACTGCAACGTATGGAATCTACCACACCTGTCGTGGATTCGAATCCCACCGATGTCACTAGAGTTTTCAAATCTGGGTCAAATGAAAACCACTTCTGTTGTGTGAAGGCAGCCAGTTTTCAACTGGTAATCTCTCTCATTAATGTTGTTGATACATGCAGTGACTTCGCCAGCCTGGCCCCAACGTACAGGTGGTTTTTGGCACCGATCCATAGTTTGCTATCACCATCGCAGCTACCTCCACCCACCCACCTGGCCTCGGCATTTGGCTATCCACCAAGATGGAACCTACAGCTTCTGGCAAACGGGAGGTGGAGCGCGCAGGCCATTTGACCTTGTTTCGCAAAACCGAAACTTCGAAAAACGTCATGGCTTATGCATACATCTACAGTGTTTTGGCCTGAGTCAGGCGAAAGTGTCGGAGTGAATTGGCTCCTGCGTCGCAGGCACACTCGCAAACGTAAATGTTAGGAATTCAATTTCATTTTCAACTAACTGACTATATCATACAAGCTGTCGAGACATGATTTTAATATTTATGTCTTTACGGTCGCGTCACTGTCTTTTATTGCTGCCGAGGGTATCATTCTCTGATGAACTTTTCCTATTGCTAAGGAGGTTATGCTACCTAAACAGCTTATTGAGTTCAATACCCTTTCAATCCAGTGGGCTGGTTGATGGGACAACAAATACGTTGTGTCTGCCTAAGTTAGGGGAGCTTTGCGATATCGTGATGTAATTAGAAGTCGACCTTTACGGTGTGTTGTCAATTTCTGCGATGAAGTTTCCCACTAGGCAATCATTACAAAGAGAGAGGCCTTTAAGTACCTAAAGTCAGTGAGTGAGATCAGGAAATGTGAATCGAAAGGCTGAAACACGTTTTAGATTTAGAAAGATTACCCAGGTAGGGATGTAAAGTTGCTCATCGTGCCGCACACTCCTAGAATATATCAGAAACGCCAGGCTTCTGGCTTTTGAAGCACGTTTTTTTATCGTTTGCGAAAACCGCAGTCAGTAAATCATGAATACATATGCAGTATGTATTTCTGTATAAGTTAGCATCCCCCTATATATTAAACTACATCTTATAAAAAAGAGGACCAAAAATTCATTCCTGTACGCATTTTGACAACGAATTATGTCTTTCTCCACTTTTATCCTCAAAGGGAGGCTACCGTTTGATTCGAAAAGTTTTAAACTGATGAGATTTCCTAAAATCGTACGACTTTCATTCAGATTTCCTCGTATTTGTTCGTTTATTAACGCACTTAATCAACCGCGCAACCTAGTACATTGACACACCAAGCTTATATTAACACTATACGGTATGGTTTTAGTAGGGAAAAGCATACCACTTATAGACTGAATATCCTAGAGGCAAATATATTAACAGATTCGACGAAAAGTCGTCCGAACTTGAAATAAGTTTTTGTTACCTAAATATATCTGTCCTTCGTACATACGTTTCGAAGAAGACATGAGCCGCTACCATATAAGCACAAGAAAGTATATTTTCATTACTATCTTGTATACAATATATTTTAATTTATATTGACATTGAAAGTAAATGTAAAAAGCGCAGTTCTTCTTTTATTGGCTGCGGTTTATTTACAGGCGACCAAAAACCTTCAACCAAAAGCGGGCATCCTGGCTTATTGGACTTATCATAGGGTTGTTCCTTACGATGATCGATTTTAAACTCTTACTTACGTAATATTTCCTCATGAAAAAGGTACCTTAGTATTTCGGTTAAAATTTCATGAGAAAAAGCACTGCGTGAATACGTTGTTCATTTACTTACAGGACAAACAAACACTCTCGTGTTTGATCGGCGCTTAGCTCGTATATATTGCTACAGTAAATGCATATTAATTAACTGCTTTGTTGGCAATTGTAAATTGCTAACTTCTTAAATTCCCGCTTATCGTACTACTCAAAACCCCATAGTGGTGTGCTTACTGTAATTAACATAGCCTTCTACAAATATATAGCATTATGCTGACTTGAAAGCCTGGGTTTAAGCAAGAATTGCGAAAGTTTGAGAACTACCCCAAATAATGTCTCTCAATGCTTTGTATCTCGTTAACAATGCGTTCTTATTAACGACAGGTGCTCTTTCCATCCGCTTACCAACAGCTACTTTCCACATTAATTTAAAGCTAAGTTCCCCTTCGCGCATATACTGAAGAAGGAGTACATAATAAACAGAAAAGTATATGTTGGAAGGATATACTTCCAGTAGGTCTTGACCCCCTCAAATAGTTCACACTATCACGTTACTGACGCTGACTCTATACATTCAAATACTAAGCACGTAAAACCAGTCGCTTTGTTCCAACTCTCCTCCTTCACGGTCTTTGATGCGAAGAAGTCTTGCAGTTAAAAGTTTCGAAAGCACATCCATCAAAACACCCTGAAGTTAAGGACGAAAAATTAGAGAATTATTTTTTCTGATAGTTTTCGGTAAAAAGAGCCTAGCAATTTACTTTCAGTCTAATGCATGGTTTTGTCTTTTTCTTTAAAGGACTTCATCCAAGCGCTCAAAGCGCGACTGGATCATCGCTTTGGACCCATCTGGCAGTGCCTTTTATCTTATGGTGCATTTGTTGCCTGTGCTGTTCACGTTTCCGGGACTCAGTTGTGTGTGAGAATGAACGGTTTCACAGTCCTCATGTACAAGTCGTCGGACTCAGTGCCATTTGATCTGGTCTAGTTAATCTATGCCTACATGTTGTGCATAGCGATTTCACGTATCGAGTTGTTTTGCGATGCTCATTCCACACATGGAATTACAAAATAAAGCCTTCATTCCATTTGAGTATTCTCATTTATTGAAGAATTATATGCGCTTAAGACAATAATTCTTGGAAGACCACAAAGCAGATTCTAAGTGCAAGAACAAATTTCACATTTATGTAAATGCGTGGCGCTAAAAACACACGTGTAATAAAACTAGGAGAAATTTTAAAATCATGAGCCCAGTTTAATTGCGGAGCAATTTATGCACTTAGAACTAACGATGCTGCATCAATTAAGCGGTGTACAAAACAGTACGTAATAGTAGTCATCGCACGAAAAGGCAATGGAGCAATCGGGTTTGTGCGCGTAGTGATATCCATGACCTGCTTGCATGATAAAACAGTGCCAGCAATCGCCGTACTTGTGTTCCATGTATTTCTTCAGTGCTCCAGCTCTTGCCTGTCGTCAACAAAAGAAAAGCTATTTACGGACATGAAGCTGAGAAATAGGAAAACGAAGTACGAAATATCTAGGTACCGCAAGCTGATTCTATCGTTTTCATTTATTCATTACTCAAATATGTCACTAGCTGGTGTGCTTTTCACATCAACTTCATATAGTTTATGAGTCTAACACAAATTCTAATTGCAGGAAAGAGTATTGGTGTCCTGTGGTACTCCAGAAGGAAAAAGGGACCCAGTATAGGAGATTAATTAATGATAAACACCCCTGTGTGCTTTTTATTATTCGTAAACACACCGAGTGTTATGTGAAACTGTAGTTGAGTGGCTGACTCACTAGCCAAAAAACCAACTTGAAGCCCCAGGATTACAAGGCCTCGAGTTAGTTTATGGCAAGAGAAAAACATTAGGAAATCGTAAAATTAGTTGTAGTCTTTATTGCTTTTTCCTGTTATATATTCTGGCACTTCACCGTACTAGTGTACCCTGGATGAGAAACAGAAATATTCGGACAGGAATCATTTACGCTAGCTAATGGATTCCCTTCAACCTGGTAATTAAAAGTCCCCAACCGTTGAGGAGTTTTGACCAAATTTTCGGTTAATAAAATTGAATTCTTTAAATATTTTAATATGATGAAGAGTAATATTGTGTTGCCGTTTAAATTACTTAACCTAATATGATGCGGAGCATGCTTGCTTTTTGGAAAATACGATATTAATCAGTAAGCATCTCAAAAGAATAAAAATAAACATAACAGCCTTTCATAAACTGAACTCAAGTAACTCACCTTTAAATCGGACGGGTACTCAGATATGTACTGTTTTGTTATGTTCAGCGTGTCTTCCATCATTCTTTCGCTCATTTCTTGATCAAGCACACGAATTTTTCCAGAGGGAACTGCTGCATGTTGTTGTTCTTGTTGTTTCGCACTAAAAAATCAAAAAAAGTCATGATTCTGCTTCCACAAGCCAGATTAGCAACTTTTCGCTCCTTAAAACTTGAATAAAACTAAATTTTGATTTTTTTTAAATGTAACATGTTTTGGCCTAAGCAGATGCTGAATGGAGATGTGAAATTATCGAACCAGAAACCATAAGAAAAACGATCAAAAACAAATCAGCGAGCCTAAATCCCCTCGATCTTTTTATGCAATAACGGAAACCTCATTTAAATACACACTGGGGTTCTAAACAGTTATGCTGTTAGGAGTGTGACGAAAGTACTCTAATATGAATTTGAATCACAAGTGAATTTTCTCGTTTTTCTAAAATAGTGGTAAGCTTTTATTCCAAATGCATTGATTGTATAAGAATCAAATCTTCATTATAATTTTTAGGCCAATCAGAAAGGCTTCATCTAGTACACATTACTTCAAGACCTATTATATGTAATTCATCAAAGCTTTAGATTAGCACACATACCTAATAACGGTACTGTTATCGAATGCAGAATGTTGTTGATGGCTTGTTCTAAAAAATTAAAATGGTTATGATTCTTCTTCCACAAGCCTATAATACAGATTAGCAACGGTTCACTCGTTACAACTTGAATAAAACTGAATTTTGATTTTTTTAAATATGATAAATGTTTTGGCCTGAGTAGGTGTTTAATTGAGATGTGCAATTATTGAAACAGAAACCATAAGAAAAACTATCAAAAACAAATCTATGAGCCCAAATCTCCTCGATCTTGTTATACAATAACGGAAACCTCATTTAAATACACACCGGGCTTCTAAACAGTTATGCTGTTTGGAGTGTGACGAAACTACTTTAATATGAATTTATGTCACAAGTTCGTTTGCTCTTGTTTCGAAAATAGCGGTAAGCTTTTATTCCAAGTGCATTGGTTGTATAAGGATCAACTCTTGATTAGAATTTTAGACTAATGATAAAAGCCTCATCAAGGACACATGGCTTCAAGACCTATTATAAGTAATTCATCAAAGCTTTGAATTAGCATACATACCTAACAGTGACGCTGTTACCGTATGTCGAATTTTCTCGGTATCTCGTTCTAAAAAATCAAAATAGTTATGATTCTGCTTCCGCAATCCTATAATCCAAATTAGCAGCTGCTCACTCGTTACAACTTGAATAAAATTAAATTTTGACAAAAATATGCAACATGTTTTGGCCTGAGCAGGTGTTGACTTTTGATGTTCTATTATCGAACCAGAAACCTTAAGAAAACGATTAAAAACAAACCAAGGAGCCAAACCCCCCTCGATCTTGTTATATAGTAATGAAAACCTCATTTGAATACATATTGGGCATCTAAACAGTTATGCTGTTAGGAGTGTAACGAAATTACTTTGATATGAATTTGTCACAAGTGAATTTGCTCGTGTTTGTAAAATAGCAGTAAGCTTTTATTCCAAATGTACTGATGGTAAGGAATCAACTCTTCATTAGAATTTTTAGGCTGATCATAAACGCCTCAGCTAGGACACCTGACTTTAAGACCTATTGTTAGTAATTTATCAAAGCTTTGCATTAGCATGCATACCAAATATACACATTCTTATCGCTTACTAAACTAAATTAACATTTTGCTAAAACCCTAAAAGAAGGATTATAAAGACTTCTTTTTAATGCGTCGCCTACGGAACAGCTAAGCTCTGTTTGTTATCAAGTTGCAAACGCTGGTTCGTATATGCATAGGAAATTGCAGGCCTGCGACATACTGGGACGGAGACTTATGCCAGCACAAATAATAATTCTATGCCTATGTTCTTTAGAATTGACTTTGCCCGTACAGTTAAGAAGAGGTGAGTGTAGGGAGAGAGGGAGATAAATTCTACCAGGTCGCCATCACTGAACGCCAGTTTACAAGTGAAATCAACACCTCGGAATGGTTTAGCATCTCGTCGATAATGGCAGGCGAATAGATGCTACTCTCGGGAAAATGTATTTTTGATGATCTACTGGTCCTGCGTGTTTTTTGGACGTAAAATTTCCTACAACCTTGAGTTTTGACCTTCAACGCTTTAAAAGATCTTCAAGTTTTAATTTTTGGATCTCTTAAATAAGGAGACCTCTGAGTTTGCAAAAAGTTTAGTAAATTATATCTTGGTAACACCGAGATGTCAACAAATAGTTGATGTTTGGCACTAGTAAAAGGTTGTGATTATCTATTCTAATTAATTTAATCATGATATACATTTTTTGTATAAAAAATTCCAAATGCGGTAAGGAAATATTTCACTTACACTTCCTTAGGGTCAACATTTAGAACTTCACAAAACTTCTCCAGTTTTATTCGTCCGGTATTTTGTGGGTCAAACTCTATCTGCCATTTCTGAAACAGAAACAGATCGGAAGGAAGGTTATTTGAACACTGGATATTTTGAATACAGATTTTCCAAGTTTGATAATTTTTTTGAATTCCTACAACATAGGCCCAGCTAATATATTTAGATTATTCAGACAATGATATATTCGCCCTTGTAGAATGTGAAGATGTAGAAAATCACTTCACAAAAGTATGTATAATTCAAGGGAAATGGCCGTTCTCGTTACTTCTGAGTGAAAGAGCCATAGTGTTTAATTCCAATGATTTTTTGAAGAGTGATTTACCTGCGCAATTTTGGGATTCATTCCATTTTCTTTTGCGTATTTCTCGAGATCGGGGATGGTAATATAACCTAGATGGTTTGAGAAAACAAAACATCCTGGAACACACAAAGCGCATAAATTTTTTGCGGTTTATGCCATGAATGTAAGTATAAGACGAAATTACAGGTTAGGTGGATTCTGTAACGTACGCCTTTAAAATCCCTTCTATAGTATAGTTTACGAGGATAAAAGAGACTCAAAACTAAACTCCAAAAACTTGCCCTTCTGAAACTCTCTCCGAATTCTTTCATAATATAATATGTTGGTTGAGAAGAAGAAGAAGAAGAAGACTCGATCGCCGGGAAAATAAGTTTATTCGCCAGCGATCGAGTCTTTTTCTTCTCATTTGCTTCCTGGGAATCGCATGTTCGCTTGTATTGGCAGTATGTTGATTGTCATCAAATTCGATAGAGAAGCACAGCTGTACAACCGCCAAACTTACTACGACGGTTTTGGCTTAGAAGGTTGTTTTATCTTACTTTCAGTAGAGAACGCAGTTCGAATCCCAGAAAGATGCTTTCCTAATCTATTCCACTAATTATAATACGCGGTTTCCTGAAAAAACTAAGATAATTGAACTCAGTTGGTTAAATATAGCTTTAGGATGATCCTGTACATTATAGTTGGAGCAAAGCAAAGCCAATTTGACCAATTACCTTCAAACAAAATCGTCAACTTAGCGAAAATGCGTCTGTACGTGACAAAGCTCTCATAGATTTCCCAGACCAATGCTCACATGCGATCCTCACAAGAAAACTTGAAGAGTAGGCTTTCACTGGAACTTGAATAAACTTTACACCATCAACAGTATGTTAAAGATAAAATGACTGAAAAAATCCCACTAGATATTTTTATTTTTATACAGTTTTGAACGTATGGCTTTCAGTTTTTAAATGACTAGCATATGGTTGATTTTTAAGTTCCTCAGAAATAAATCGCTAACTTGGCTTTTTTTATGCTTACACTCACTAATGTATCAAACCCAAACGAGGGAAGCTCAGTTTTATGGAAACAGAGTAAGTGCGTGGCATGCATAGGCGAAAACGGTGATCCAACCAATCACCACAGTTTCTATCCTGCCTGATTTTTTTTCTAATTGAAACCTAATGAGGGCGGAGAGGATGCAGTCAGTACTATGCGAGTGATCTTTGAATAACTAAAATGCAGGTGTTAATTACCACTGCTACTCTGAATTGGCAGGCGTTCCGGTGTATTAGGACAGAGAAATTAGCACTTTAAAGGCGGTGAAAAACGGCTTTAGAGGGTATTGCGTTCGACCATATACCCGTAATTTCAACCAAACATAGCCAATTAGTATATTCACACGATGCTCCAGTAGACGTCTCAGTAGTTCTTCGAAACGATGTCAAACAGGAAATAGGGAGAACAGGTAGTAGACTTGTTTAAACGCTTCCAGTTTGCTAGGTCTGCAAAACTGAACACTGCTGAAACCAGAGACTTATATCGATGTGTGAAGAAATTTAGTATTGTTCTGTTTGTGATAATATGACTAGTTATCGGTGACAGGCTCAATTGCCCCACAAATCTCTCCCTTTATTACGGAAAATTACTCTTACCTTAGACTTCCACACGCATTTTCGATCACTGATATAGAAGTCTACGAGGGAAGAAACAAATGTTTAAACCTTTCACCCACAACCATAATCTAATTAGAGTATTTTTGACTTCATCCGTTTTCTTATGAACCATACTTAATGGACTTCATAGAGCGAACTCACAGGTCCGCAAACTTTCCCGGATGCTTAAAACTATAGGTTTTTTATTAGACTTTATCGATCTCTGTCTCTGCGGCCACATTCTTTGGTGTACGAGTAAACGTAGAGTTCTATAGAATTTTCACATGAAAAAATCTTTACAATATAACTGTGAAATAATATGTCTGTTTATGAGGTAATTGTAGACCCTGATTTTGAAGTTAAAGACTCAAATATTTATTTGTTTCCCCTATTTTCGTTGCCACAGAGAAACCAGAAAATTTGCAATGATTTCTAAAGCATGCCAATATATTTTCAGGTGATTAATTTTATCTGGCACACTATATTTTCATAATAAATATCTAAGACTTGAATAAACTGACTGCACTTTTAATGTTCGTATAATAGCTTTGGTGGATGAAACAGGTGGATGTCTTCATTTCAAATTAAGTTACTGGAAATGATCCCTTTTGAATGAAGAAGAATCATATTATGCATTTGACCATCCTGTATCCCAATGCAAACAATCTTCTGATCCAGAAAGACGACATGTGCATCAGATAAGCACAAATTTTTCTCCAAGGCCAACAAGAAATTTAACGGAAATAAATTTAAGTCGTATTAGCATTAAAGATTCTCAGACTGCCCAAAAAGTTTGAGGCTATCGTTTCTTTATGTACAACCTCGAAAATGATCAGGTAAAAGAAACCGACAGAAGCTATAAAGCATCTACCATATCTGGCGCAGTGATAAAAACCAAAACCCTCTTCATATAACACCTAATTGACAGATCATTTAAGAGAAACAATTCAACAGGTTTGCTGTTCATATAAGTCAAAAGGCGTCACTTTACGGGGATCCATTCAACTCACCTTTATTGTCCTTATCAACGGCAGTGTATATTTGCATATAATCTGACATTGTTGATGAAATTCCTCGGAAAAAAAGGCCTGTTGCGAGTAGCTGTGTTCAGCCGGGTTACAGAGAACGCACTGTGGTCTCCGAGTCTCCCCTAGTTGTCACATATTCTCGCACGCACTCGCACGCACACACACGATGAGTCGGCTACAGCGAATCCACTGCCAGCTCGCTACCGCCGTTAGCCTGTAACAAGAGCACCCTCGCACAGGCAGGAGACGCCAGTCAAGAAGGTGGTGGCACCTGCAAACGGCGAAGCACACCAGAAAGGTCTGGAAACGTGAGAGCAGCCTCGATGGAGATTGTCGTGCAGGCACAAAAAGACCGACGGCGGGCATTGTGTAGATGCGTGCGTGCATGCGTGCACCCTCTCGTGGAGGTCTGCGCGACTTGCTGTTGCACCAACCCTGCATTAATTACACCGCTAGAGCCAAAAGAGAAAGAAAGAACAGTAAGCGCACAAGACGCAGTTGCCAGTAATCATAAGGCTTAGCAAAAACTTGCCAATTGTTTTGGTTTTTGTATTACTGAAGTATTTCAAGGGGAGTGTTAAAGGGAGAGAGAGCGAGAGAGAGATAGCGAGCGGATTCAATTAGGTACAGTAGGTGACCTAACTCAGGTAGATTCGTGGTCAAAATTTGAGTTGGTCATTTAGCATACATTTGGTCTTGTTTTATTGATTCTTTGAACTGTCTAAGTTCGGTAAATATTCCTGTTTTGCCTGTTTTCCTTCACTATTAAGAGTAAACATGCAATTTTCTCTACTATAAGACTTTCGAGCATTATATCCCTTCAACGGATCAATTAAAATCATTGTAGTAGGTAAGACGTGTTTTTCGGCAACTCATCGTCAGGCCTCTAACTTTGCAAAACTATGAACATTTGAACGTGTACAAAAAGCAATAATTGTCCTAGGCGGGCGCCTATTGGCCATTGCGGACTTTGTCAGTCTGCAAAGGCCTACGCCAACGCGTGCTGGCAACAACGGAAGCAGTTGCTATACGTCTAATGAATCCAGTACTCTGCTGTCAGAAAACCCTAACACAAG